GGAAATGGGTGACCCTAAGAGGCCCAGCCACTGCCACACAATCCTTTAGAGAATTTTTCTTTCATATCTGCAGGCAGGTGGCAGTGAGTGGCTCCATGACCTGCTGTAGGTTTAGACTGAGCTGCCAGACACCACGACCCATGTGGCCACGAGAGAACACAAACAACTGCAGCTGTGCAGCATAGGCTTCGAGGTTGCACTGTTGAGCCTGGGCACAGATTTCTGCTACTAGGACCACTTCAACTGCCGTATGCTGCCATCTGGTCCACCTATCCCAATATTTTCAGTTGTCTAAAAGCTCCAGAGATGTAAAAAGGATACCAAATTTCCCATGGGATATATCTGTGTGTTACTGGTGTTTAAAAATAAACTGGGGCTTCCGGTCAAAACAGAAGGTAGGTAGACACACCTGGCCTCATTGCTCAACCATAAGGAACACAGCTACCTTAAAATGGAAAAACACCTGGAACTGTATGGAAGTCTGACAACCAAATGTTTAAATAAGCTATATTCATCTAGACGTGTGGGATGGAGATGGGGAGTTGGTGCAGAAATCACTTGGTATGGCACTGTGGTGGATAAAAATCAGGGGGACACCTTGAAAGTGAGCAAGCCCAGCCCTAGGTCATATCTCACAGCTCAGGGCTCCAGTGCTGGTAAAATAAAGCCACATAATTTCTGGCTGTAAATCCAGCAGGAGTTGGAGCAGTTGAAGAAACTTTTTTTTTTAATTAATTTTATTTAGTTATTTTTCAAGTACACTTTTTTGTCTATTTTTCCCATCCCAGCCTCCCCCGCCCCTTGCTCCCCACCTCCCTCCCATTTCCACCCCCCTTAGTTCTCGTCCCTGTGTCCTTCCCATTTATTCCTCCAAATCCCTTCCCCTTTTTCCCCTTAACTTCCCTTCCTTCTCCTCTCTGGTCACTGTCACCTTGTTCTCTATTTCAGTGTCTTTGTTTTTTGGGTTTTTTTTCTGCTTGCTTGTTTGTTTTGTTGTTTAGCTTCCTGTTAAAGGTGAAATCATATGGTATTTGTCTTTCAGGACCTGACCTATTTCACTGAGCATAATGCTTGCCAGTTCCATCCATGTTGTTGCAAAAGGTAGTAGCTCCTTCTTTCTCTCTGCAGCATAGAATTCCATTGTGTATATGTACCACAATTTTTTGATCCATTCATTTACTGATGGGCACCTAGGTTGCTTCCAGCTCTTGGCTATTGTAAATTGTGCTGCTATGAACATTGTGGTGCATGGGTTCTTTGATATTGATGTTTTAGGATTCTTAGGATATAATCCCAGCAGTGGAATTGCTGGGTCAAAAGGCAGGTCGATTTTTATTTTTCTGAGAAAATTCCATACTGTTTTCCATAATGGTTGTACCAGTCTGCAGTCCCACCAACAGTGGACTAAGGACCCCTTTTCCCCACAACCTCTCCAACATTGGTTGTTTGTTGCTTTGTTTATGATAGCCATCCTGACTGGTGTAAAGTGGTATCTCATTGTGGTTTTAATTTGCATCTCTCTGATAGCTAACGATATTGAGCATCTCTTCATGTGTCTCTGAATGTTCTGTATGTCCTCCTTGGAGAAGTGTTTGTTCAAGTCCTTTTCCCATTTTTTTAATTGGGTTGGGTGTCTTCTTAGAGTGGAGTTGTGTAAGTTCTTTGTATATTTTGGAGATTAAACCTTTATCTGAGGTATCATTGGCAAATATATTTTCCCATACAGTTGGTTGTCTTGCTAATTTAATACTTTTCTTTAGCCACACAGAAGCTTTTTATTTTCATGAGATCCCATTTGTTTATTCTTTCCTTTACATTCCTTGCTCTAAAACAACAAAAAAAACAACTAAACAAAAAAAACCAACAATACATTCCTTGCTCTAGGGGACATATCAGTAAAAAAGTTGCTGCGTGAAATATCTGAGATTTTCTTGCCGATGTTCTCCTCTAGAACTTTAATGGTGTCACAACTTACATTTAAGTCTTTTATCCACCTTGAATTTATTTTGGTGTATGGTGTAAGTCTGTGCTCAAGTTTCATTTTTTTGCACGTAGCTGTCCAGTTCTCTCAACACCATTTGCTGAAGAGGCTATCTTTACTCCATTTTATGTTTCTGCCCCCTTTGTCGAATATTAATTGACTGTAGAGAGTTGGGTTGATTTCTGGGCTCTCTGTTCTGTTCCATTGGTCTATGAGCCTGTTTTTATGCCAGTACCAGGCTGAGAAACTTCTGATACATATACAAACCCACCCACCCTGAGAACCACAACCAGGACAGCAGCTGGAGGGGTGCCAGTTATATACAGTAAGAGAATGAATTGACTGGAAATGGGGCAAGACCAGGCAAACACCCAGAAGTCAGCCAGCCAGCAGCAGCATTGTCCCCTCTTCGGCTCCTCCCCCCCCCACACAGCCACGGTTGCCCTGTGTTGGTGAATACCAAAGATTCCACCCCATATAACTTAACAGGTGCGCTAAAATGGAATTAAAGCAGCTCTACCTAGTACAGAGACACAGGGAGTCTGACAAAATCAGAAGACAAATATGGCCCAAATGAAGGCACAAAACAAACCCCAGAAAAAGAACTAACCAATGTAGAGATAGCCAACCTATTGGACACAGAATTCAAAACACTGGTGGTCAGAATGCTCAAAGATCTCATTGAATATAGCAAAACCATAGGGGAAAAAATGAAGACTCCACTAAGGGAGATAAAAATACACAGAAAACCAACAGAAAAGGGAAGGAAGCTGGGATTCAAATCAATGATTTTGAACATAAGGAAGAAATAAACATTTAGCCACAACAAAACAAACAAGAACTTAAAAAAACAAGGAGAGTTTAAGAAGACTCTGGGACATCTCTGAAAGGGCCAATATCCAAATCATAGGGATGCCAAAAGGAGAAGAGAAAGAGCAAGAAACTGAAAACTTATTTGAAAAAATAATAAAGGAGAAATTCCCTATTTTGGAAAAGGAAATAGACATACAAGTCCAGGAAGCACAGAGTCCCAAACAACTTGGACCCAAACAGGTCTACACAAAGACACATCATAATTAAAATGCCAAACGTTAAAGATAAAAAGAGAATCTTAAAAGCAGCAAGAGAAAGGCAGAGTGTTAACTACAAAGGAGTTCTCATGACACTGTCAGCTGATTTCTTAAAAGAAACTTTGCAGGTTAGAAGGCACTGGCTACAATACAAAGTGATGAAAAGCAAGGAGCTACAAGATTACTCTACCCAGCAAAGCTATGATTTGGAATGGAAGGACAGATAAAATGCTTCCTAGACAAGATAGTGAATGCTAAAGGAGTTCATCATCACCAAGCCCTTATTATATGAAATGTTAAAGGGACTTATCTAAGAAATTGAAGACCAAAACTATGAACAGTAAAATGATAACAAACACAACTATCAACAACTGAATCTAAAAAAACAAAAACAAACTAAGCAAGCACCTAGAACAGAAATAGAATCACAGATACAGAGATCATTTGGAGGGTTATCAGCTGGGGGGGGAGGGGAAAATGGGGGAGGAGATATAGGGTTTTAGAGGCATAATGGGGTAGGTAAAAAAATATACAGGGGGAATATTATCAGTATAGACAATGGAGAAGCCAAGGGACTTAATGCACAACCCATCGACATGAACTAAGGGGGTGGGGGACATTGCTGGAGAGAAGGGGACAATGGGGCAAGGGGGGCAAAAGGGAAAAAATGGGACAAAAAAGTAAAGTGGGATGGAGGAAAATCAGTAGTCAAATCATAAGGGTGAAGAAGCAAATGTACATAAAGTGTATGATTAGGACAAACTGTCCTGTGGGGGCGACTTTGCCCTCAAGTCCCCCAGTCCACCACAGATGAAAGTAAACACTACCAAGACATGATCTGCTTGGGGAGGAGATGTGGCCAGTTTCTCAGAGGAAAAAGGCCAGGAGCCCCTTCCTCCAGGGGCTTTTACTGGGTTGTAATACACAGGAACATAGGCAGCAAGGATCAAACAGTAGATAACATTTCAAAAAATTTCAGGGCTTGGTCTGAGTCAGTGTCTGTCAGGAAAGGGGGATGCAGAGACTTTGGGAGACATACTCATTTCCTGCTCGAACCCTTAACATATGAATGAAAGCACTCTTAGCAAAGCAGCTTTCACAGGATTTTTAGGAATTCTTTCTTATGCCTGATTACCCCAGTTACTGCTCTACAAGGCAAGGAGCTGCACTGCCTCCCCATCATAGGTTTTCAGGTTTAAATGGATTAGAGCCAGGAAGCGCTTCTTCCAGAGGACATGGGGACTCTAGCTATGTCAAAATAGCAGGGGGCGAGGGTCCATCACTCCCTCTTTGTTGCAGTCCTTCCATGATGGCCTCCCAAGTGATCATGTCTGGCTTAGGTTGCCCTCCCTCTGAGGGGTCTTATCTGTCATGGACTATCTGACCATGCACTGGGGGCAGGGGAGGAAGCAGAAGCAGCCATTGCTACCAGAGACAAGCTTTGTCTCTTAAGTGGCTCGCATTCAGGAGGTTGCACACTCAGCCTTAGCCCTGGGGGGCAGTTACAACTCCTGAAACCAGGCAGAGCAGTTCCCAACAACAAAGTACTGAGCCTTCCCCGTGATAACCACTAAATGAATCTTCTGGGGTGAGGTCAGGTGGGGGATTCATTCCTAAGCCAAATTCATTAGCAATGAATGGATCATCATCTATATAATTATTTTCTCCTACAACTTTAGTGACTACAGTCCCAGATTTTCCTGGACAGTTTGGTTTATTCCTACTCTCCCACATAGTAACAATACCCTTTTCACTCTGAAAAGTATCCCAGTTTCGACAATAGTTACCGGGGCATTCTACCTAACTGTACTGGTTACCATAGAACATTATTTTGAGTCATCATTTTTTTCCAAGAAAAGTTTCAGACATGAAAAACTTTCAGTTTTGAGGGGAAACATCAGGAACTGGTATTAAAAAAAGATGTTTCATAGTACAAAATGACTGACTACAATTTAGTTATCAGTAATGCTGTATGAGCCTCACTGCAAAACCAGATTATAGAAAGGTCTTTGTGAAGGCAGTGGAAATAAGGTTATCTGAGGAGGGCAAGGATTACTACACAAGGTAGGTGCTGAAGGATGTTCTGTAAACATTGTAATCCTCCAGTTAGCATCTCGATTGTTTTTGCTGTAAGAGCCAACCACCCTGAAAAAAGCTTGATTGTTTCCACTTAGGATATGCACCTCCACAAGAGCAGGTCTTGGCTGAAGCAGATGTTCTTGGTTTAAGAGATTAACCAGAGGATCAAGTTCACAGAAAAACACTTCTCTGAAGCCTAATATAGTCTGAAAAATCAGTGGGTAACATATGCCATTTAGTTCTCAAAATAAAAAAACTAAGATGAAACTAAATAAATCACCATCTCTGTCTACCAAATCTGGCCACCAATCTTCTTGAATTCTTGGTCTCACCATCTAATGTTCCTAGATGCAGGAAACTGCTTTATGGTAGAAAACATTGTGATTTTCTTCCCCCCCACATTCCAAATGACCAGTTCCTGGCCACTCATTCTTCTCTTACTACAGACTAGAGGCTACAAACTATCAGCCACAGTCTTAGGAACTTTTAAACTATAACCATAAAAGTTCCTAGTTATGCATGACTGATAGGTGGGAAAGGGAAATAAAAAAAGAGTCCTAAACTTCCAGGTAACTACTGTAAAGCAAATAGTGTATCCTCAGTTGTATTTGTAATTTGAGTTGCTTGGGATCTTGCAGTATATAAAAAATGATAAAAAAATTTTAAAAACCCACAAGAAACTGGATAGTTTAAGGAAAACTGCCAACATATCTAAGGATAGATGTCAAATATAGGGTCTGGCAGAAATAAGGCCTGCTTAAGTGTGGTTGGTAGGGTAATAATATGGGTGTAATAATTTATAGTTTTAATTTGAACATTTCACCTAAAATGTCATATAGTATGGTTGAGTGTGATATTGTTAGAGAATTATGATTTTGTAATAAAAGGGGCATTTTTGTGTGTGTGACAGACCCTGTAGGTCCCCTTCCTGTATTCCACACACAAAAAAATTCTCCATGAAAAGCTATTGTAAACCTGTATTAAAAAAAAAAAAAGCTGGAAACAGCAAAGCATTCCCTCTCTCCTATCTACTATGTACTATAAGATTTACAGAAAAACATTGTCGTTTCTTATACCTTTAGCAATTTCAATCACAAATTGTCAGTTAAAGACAGCCATTACCTGTACTAGCTAGCAGCTTAGCTTGACTCTTCTTGTAACTAGAACGATTCTTCTGTACTTTAAATTTTGTTGGCATCTTTTTTTTCCTATTCCCATTGTAATATCTCCTGTCAACAAAATTAAAGGATGGGGATAAAGACATTTTGGGCTTTCAAAGAAAAATCATGTTCCATGGCAGATATAAAGTATACTAGAGAGCAGTTCTAAGATATAATTGCATTTGTTTTCATCTGAATTCTAAACAAAGAAATTAAGTTTTTTTACTTCTTGGGAATAGGGCATTTTTATCTCATATGAACAGATAGGACAGCATTAATGTTCAGTGGTGACTTTGTACTTTACACTAGCCAACGGACTGTTTCGTCTATTATCAAATTAGTCTTATTACTCTTATTACTGATTTTTAGAGAGTGAGACACATCGAAGTGAGAAGCACTGATCAGCTACTTCCTATACACCCCAACTGGGGATTGACCTCTCAACCTATATATGTGCCCTAATGGAACCAGCAACACTTTTTGGTGTATGGGATGACACTCCATCCAATTGCATCACTGAATCAGAGCTACTCTTAAATTCTTTAAGTGGGTAGTTGGTTGTACAGTTGCTGTATTTTGGGACAATACTTAGCTATCAGTAAAAAGGAGGCTTTTGCATTTCCTGCTTTTGCCAAATTAGACTTCTTTAAAAAAAAAATCCTATGCCTTTGATTGTACAGCCACCTAACATTTCTGTAATTTATCACCAAATTCCTTTGTTGATAATTTTATAGTAAGGAGAAATAGGCAAGCTGAAATCCCCACCCTGGTAAAAATGTACACTTATCACAAGATTTACACTTTAGCAAAAATAAACCTTTGTATATAAATCTGAACTTCAATCCACCAGTTTTTCTTTTAAAAGAATGTTCACTCAAAAGAAAGTTGCTTCACAACAGTAACCTTTATTACATGCTTAAGTGAATAATCACTATTACATTATCTCATCAATACAATATTATTTACTCATCTTGAGGGAGAGAAATATCAATGTATGGTTGCCTCTCGTGCGTCCCCTGCAGGGAACTGGCCTGCAACCTGGGCATGTGCCCTGACTGGGAATCGAACCATGATCCTTTGGTTCACGGGCCCGTGCTCAATCCACTGAGCTACACCAGCCAGGTCATCAATATTAAATCATGTGCTCTCATTCCTCCTCTTTTGACATACCATAAATACAATCAATATTAAGGGGTAAGATGCCTATTTTAGACATACTCTTTTAAAAGGAAGGAGTGTTCAGGACTGTATTATTAAATTTCATTCTTACCTTTATGCTACCTAATTTGAGTAGCATGTGTTAAGACATTACTTTTGGAAGGAAAACTTTTGGAGCTATTCTGTTCTTTAATAAATGCCTAACAAAAGAGAGAACTATGCACTTGAAACAGATTTTATAATAATTTATACTTGCACATAAATTCTGCCACATTATTCAGCACCACCCAAGTAAAATTCTTGAATTTTTCACTGAAAATGAAAAACCCACCTGTCACCTGTTTCCAGTAAAAAACGGATTGTTCTACAAAATCAGGTGATTTACTCAAATAGGAACTAAAGTGTGAAAGATGGTCTTTCCAGGTTGAGAGTTCATCATATAAAGACCATTCTAGGAATATAGCATGACTGAAGAAAATGAGAAGGCCAAGCAGAATGACTACCAGAAAAAACTTATAAAAATTCCAGGGAATCTTACTAATCAATGTGCCAGTGTCTTGAGGTAAAGAAAGTTTATCTACATCTGCTAGTTTTATGTCTTCCCACTGACTGGTATCAAAGTTTTTCATTAAAGGGCCCATGGGCAAATTAGAGGGAGGTAAAGGAGTTTCCTTGATTACTTTTATTTTCTCCCTGAACTCCTGCATCTGCTGCAGAAATATGATTGGTTCTGACACATCTTTAAAGGCCTCAGCAATGTTAAAGGCCATTCGCTGTTCCTGCAAGATGGTATTGAGTTTGTTAATTTCTGGGTCATAGGCTTGCATAACTGTAAGCTTCATGGTCTCAAAGTCAGACAAGATTTCATTCTTTTTTTGATCTAATGTGTGTTGTAATTTCTCAAAAAACTCCTTCACTTTATCTGACTCTTTAGTCAGTAACTGTAGAGATTTCCTTTTGTTAGTTTCCAAGGTATCCAAGCGAGAAAGAGCATCTCCCCGACGCCAGGTCTCAAAGCTCTGAAAGAGGGACTGAAAGGCTTCCCTTTCCTGAGCATAGGCATCTTCAATAGAACAAAAGGCATGTTTAGTGTGATCACCACGGGTAGCACAGATTCCACAAATCAGCTGCATATCAGTCAAGCAGAAAATATTGAGAGGCTGCCCCAAGTGTCCTTTGCACACGGGCATTTTGGGAGAGATCTTGATCTTGTTATACTTCTCCACAATACCCTTCAAGGAGTAATTAACCTGCAGGCTATTGACTCCAGATGCTGAAGTTTCCTTCCGGCAAGTGGGGCACTTGAATGGAGGTGATCTCCACAATGAATTCCGTACATTTCCCTCTAAAATCCCTTCTAAACATTTTTTGCAGAAGTTGTGCGAGCAAGGCAAAACTCGAGGATCATCAAACAGACTGCAACAAATTGGGCATGTAAGATCTTCTTCAAGCAGCTCCATCACATCCTACCATAGAGAAATAAACATTTAATTTTATTCTAGTAATCCCCCACTTGCACTGTGTAGTAATTAAAAGAAACTATCTTCATAGACATTAAAAATGATCTTTCATTGAAACAAGGCAAACAATGGGAATAAGTGAGAAATTTGAGAAGGGAATGCACACCAAAGCAGATTTAATCTGCTGAGGCTAGAACACACTGCTCATTAGTAGGGCTCCCTGTACACAGGCCTTTGTGTGGACTTTCCAACAATAGTCTTTAGCTGAAACAGGGTTAGGACTAGGACAATTGCAAATTGAGCCAGCAGCACCCAATTGATTATTTTAAAACAGAGAAAGCTGACTACTAGCTATCAGAGACAAAGCTACTCAGTGTCTGAAGAGAATGAGCTCTTTAGTCTGGACAATTATAAAATGTGGTATTTAAAAAAACCGCACAGAAATATAAATCCAAGCACGTACTTTCATGCAGACATTTACTTAAAAATGGCACTTTTCTATTTCAAAAGCAAAATTACAATTAACACCACAGGTAAAAAAAATAAAATGAGAAAGCTGCCATTCATTCTTCCCTAGAAAACTAAATGAGTTTTTTAAAGCCACCAGGACAGTAATCAAAGCCATCTTGTACTGTCTGTCTAGAGCATCAGTTTTCAAAACTCTTGGGTTTCCCTAAGAGTCTTTCAGGGTATCATTAGGTCAATACAATTTTCATAATATTGTGAAAGCAATGGTGAGCAGACACTGCTGGAGTCTCAGCAGGAATCACACAAGGCACTACACAGGACCAAACTGTACTATTAATCCACATTCTTCATCATCACATCAAACTGGGCATAGCCAGTTTCATTTACAAATGTTCCTATATATATATATATATATATATATATATATATATATATATATATATATACACACACACATATACATATATATATACACACACACATATGTATACTTATATATACATATTTATTTATTTGTTTGTTTGTTTGCTTGCTTTTAGAGAGGGGGAAGGGAAGGAGGAAGAAAGGTAGAGAAACATCAATGTGATGACCTGTTCTGCAGCCCCTAATGGAGACCTGGCCCGCAACCCAGGCATGTGATTGGAAATTAACCAGCAACCCTCTGTTTCAGTCTGGCACTCAATCCACTGAGCCACACCATCCAGAGCAAAAATGTTCTTAATGAAGCAGTAAGAATTACTAATTTTATTAAATCTTGACCCCTGAGTGACAAAATAGAAAGTAAACACACATTTCTGTCACATACCAGGAGAAAATGCCAGGACAAAAAGCACATGTAACTGAGTTGCAGGCTGAAATGAACCACCTGCTTTTGACATGGGACAGAAAGAATGAATAACTAAACTATGCCTATTCTGATTAAGTATACCTGGCAGATGTTTTCTTGAAAACAAAAAAAAAGGAGTTCATCACTTCAAGAAAAAAATGATAGTATTTTTGCTAATGCTAAAAGTTGAGTTTTTGAGTGAAAACCAGACTTTTGGAAAATACTGTTTGCCACTTAGGATACTGACTCCTTCCCATTAATCAAAGACTTTTCTAATGAGATAAGCAGTAATATTAATAAATGTGTGGGGTTTTGGGGGAATTAGTATATAATAAAATACAAAGAGATTTGGAGATCTATATAACACAGTGAACAAACTGGTTCAAATCACCAATGCATGGTATAAATCATGCATGGGTAAAAGATCAAGACCAGTATGTTCAAAAATATAACCTCAGGTTCTATACTGCAACTACCTTTAAATTTTGGTATAATATCAAAGATGATCCACAGATATCAGAAAAGGCTATTAAAATATTCCTCCCCTCACCATCTACACATCTGTGCAAAGCCAAATTTTATTTTCTTGGTATATTTCAGCCAAAATGCCTTACTGCAACAGGTGTAAGGCAGAGGCAGATAAAGACTCCAGGTGTTTTCCATTAAACAGAAATTCATTAAGGAGATCTATTTGTAAAGCAATGCCACTTTTCCCACTAATGTTTCAAAAAAGTTATTTTTCATAAATTATTTGTTAACATAAGTTTATCCTTATTATTTTAAATTAATATCTTAAACATTTTCTCAATTTTCATTTAAAATACAGTAAATACTACTATACTGTATACATGTAAACAAAAGCTCTTGGGATCTCCAGTTTTTAAGAATGTATTATAATGGGGTCTGAGACCAAAATATTTGAGATCGCTGATCTAAAGAATACCAATTCTCAATATGAGTTTATTATTTTTAAATGTACATTTTAAAACTTCTATCTTTAAGTTTTAAAACCAAAACAGTGCTGAATGTCCTCATTCAGATTTACTTAGGAATATATATATATATACATATATGATGTTATCACTAAAGTAATAAAATACAGGGTCTAATAATATGGAGTCCATCTTATAATATAAAATAAGTAAATAATTTTAACAGTAATTTTAAGAGTTACAATTAGAGCTATAATCTAGAAGATAAATAGTATTTAAAAGATAAGCTGAGCTTGCAGGGCTAATTAGTTTATAAGTTTTATATTAAACTGAGGGATACAGGATATAGATATATGTAACTATATATCTACATAATCTGTATAAAGATTATTCTGTCAAATTTAGTGTCATATTCATATGGCAAATGTGTGATGAGATTTTTCTAAAAAATTGTGACATTAAGTAATCATACAACCTTTGAAAAACATTGGGAAGAGAATGGCTATGAAAACTGATATGCTAAAAAACTATCAAGTAGCTAAACACTGACTCTCTAGAACAGAGAAGGAATACTTTTGAATAGCCTACAACTCTAGTCTTGTTCCACACTATATCACTTTCAATGCTACCAACTTTTACCTAAGAATTCTATGCTAAGGCTAGATTTTGGAGTCGGCAATAAAAACAGAAAAGTAGTGAGGGCGGCATTCAATAAAGCAGACCTAATTTACTTATCCTTGTAAAACATAGTAAATAAATAGTAAGTAAGTAAATAAATAAATAAAAGGATGCATAGTTGGGGTAAGGAGGAGGAAAAAGGGCACCCAAGGGAAAGAGCAACTTTGAAGAAAACTGAGGATTCTACAAGAGCAGCCAAAAAGAATTTTAAGGCAATCAAGTAAGATCAAAAGTAAAGAGGAAAAATGTTACACACAGGAAAATTTAGAATAAACAGCCATCCCAAAGCCATAATCAACTTACAGCTCTTAAAATGAACCAGAGAGAAAAAATTACTATTTGGAAAGTCGCTTTTTTAAAAACAAATTACATCAAAATTATGACAGACCCTATTGTTCTATTTTTAATAATACAGCATACAAACTTTGGTTTATAAAGATTCTAATTTTCATTTACTTTAAAAGTTAAACACTTTTATTTTCTCTTCTTCACTTAGTTTTATACTCAAAACTTCATGATAAAACTATGTGACCACAGCTGACTTTTATAGAAAACTGAGACATAATATCCTAATCCAAGAAACCACAGCAAGTTTGTTGCCTCAAAAATTTTAGATGACAATAGCCCTGGCTGGTGTAGCTCAGTGGATTGAGTGTGGGTCTGCGAACCAGAGTGTTGCAGTTCGATTCCCAGTTAGGGCACATGCTTGGGTTGCAGGCTAGTTCCTAACAGGGGATGCATGAGAGGCAACCATACATTGATATTTCTCTCCCTCTCTCCTTCCCTTCCCTTCTAAAGATAAATAAATAAATTAAAAAAAAATTTTAGATGACAATGGTAAGATTTTTTAGTCTCACTACAGGAAGAGTATGCTTCACAGTAAAGGAATTTATAAATCCCTTTTCCCCCCAAAGATTTTATTTACTCATTTTTAGAGAGATGGGGAGGGAGAAACAGGAAGAGAAACATCAGTGAGTGAAAGATACATCAACTGGTTGCCTCATGCATGCCCTCAACCAGGTACCTGGCCCATGAATCAAACCAGTAAGTAATCTGGTTCGTAGGCTAGTGTTCAATCCACTGAGCCACACCAGCCAAGGAAGATCCTTTTCTTAAAGTGTAGCTAACACATAAAAATCTGAAGAAATCAATAAAGCTTACTCTTCAAGAGACTAAAGTACATAGCTCCTATTTTGGCAGCGAATTTTGTCCCAATATACAAATCAAGCTCTATTAGTGTCAAGGAACTATGTAAACAAAATTATTGTTCAGTCTTAAAACTTGAACTTAACCAATGTCAAATTAATTGTATAAAGGCAAACAAATCTTCCAAGATTAATTTCTTCCTTCAACTTTGTTTCTCAATACTAAAAAGGTCTCAATTTTGAAGCAGCAAAATGTTTTCCCACTAAGAAAAATTTCTCAAGTTTTATACCAACAAAGAAAGTAAATGAATATATACTTCGTTGTTTACCACCTCTCTGGCTTTTGCATTTTCCTGACATATTTATAGTTAATGTATTTTTAAATTTATAAGTAAAAATTCACTCTGATGTACAGTTCTATGAGTTTTGATAAATACACAGTTGTATAACATTACCACATATTTAGTTATAAGCAAATTTGCAAGGTAAGTGCACTCAGGGGAAACTATAAAACTGCTTTATCAATCCTACATATCCACGGAGTGGACATATAGCATGAACAGTCCCTACAAATGTGAACTGAAACATGACAACCAAACTATTAAAAAATGGGAAAGCCGCCCCCCCTCCCTGGTGTGGTTCAGTTGGTTGGACATCATCCTACAAAGGAAAGCTTGCAGGTTTGGTCCCTGTTCAGGGACCATGCAAGAGGCAATCAATCAATGTTTCTCTCCCTCTCTTTCTCCTTCCCTTCCCAAACAAACAAACAAATAATAACCAATACTTGCAAAGGAGAGGAGTCATAAAATTGAAGTAAAGGCTAATCTGTGTATATTGAATTTCTCCCTCCACAAGTCCTTTGTTTTCAAATCATCAACCCAAAATAATTATAACGTAAAAGGTGCTCATTTATTCATTCTTAAGCAAAAGTTAATGTCTATAAAAACCTGTTTTATT